TACTTATTGTGAGGAGGGATTGTGTTTCTCTAGAACTGCAGCTGCTAACAGATCCATTGTACAGCACGAGTGAAATTATATTAACGGGCAAAGGATTTTTATTATAGCATTTGTGTCCATACTGGCTCTGCGTTCCACCCAGGACCCTACCCAATGGGTACCAGTGGTCTTTTCCCCGGGGGCAAAGCATCGCTGAGGCGTGATTCTGACCACACAACCTCATCTAGTACCGGGGTCAAGAATGAGTAAGGGCTTCATGGCATGTACGATGACAGATTTACTTTTGCAGATATCACTAGTACCTTCTGAAATTAAGCTGATATGAATGATAAACCAATAAAACAACTATATACTTGCATTTGGTGTAAGGTAGCGGAGAACAAGAGGAAGAATTATTTCGCCTTCTGAATCGGAAACATTCCTCCGAAAACCTTCAACATTTGCCCAATCTGTAATGTTAAAAATATAACCAAATTAGTTTCAATCTTGAAAACAGTCACCACTATGCATTATTTGCATAAACTGCATAAAGTGAAATCATACTGTAATGGGGTAATTCTGCATATTCATCTGCATGTATCATTTTTGAAACCATTATTTTCATCAGGAAGATACGCCCAATTGTATTAAACCTTTCCTATCTCATACTTACGTCCAATGATCAACAATTTTTTTTTCATGTTCCTCTGGTAATTGTCAATCATTTCACTTTTCGCAGCTGCAAACTGTGACAACAAATTACTGAATGCTGAATGCTTTGTCTAGCATTTAGTGCCACATGGCACAAATAATTACTAATCCTTGAAAAGCAGAACACAGTTATAAATTATGGGGTTTAACAGTTCACAGGTAATAAAATCCCTTAGCTTTAATAACAGAAAGAAAATTCTGACAATGTTATAACTAAAAAGTTTGTATTTCACATGAAGGCCCTATTTAAATGTCGTCTTACCTGTGCTCTTGGCGACAATTCCGATGAATGCCGGAGGAAAAGCCATAATTACGCAACCAAAGAATGAGACAACAGACAAAATTTGTGCACTCTTCGTTGTTTTCATTGAAAATATTCTTTGAAAATATCCCTGCAAGAATATAATGCATCAGAATATGATTATTCACATGCAAGCTATCAACTGCATCATAACACGCAACATGTTTACTTATAATGACATAGATATTTCAAGTTGTATGTAACTTTCACACCCAAGACTTCATGAGCCATTAGTTTTTATTCTGAGATTGCAATTTCTTCAGAAGTAAAACTATAGAATTAATTCAGTAAAATCATTAGAAAATATTTTTATTTTTTTATTTTATCCAGTTTTTGGTGCAATATTGTAGCAGAAATGAAGACCAAAGAATGGTAACAGGCAGAGACCTACACACGAATTCAAGTTTCCACAAAATCCACAAAGTTTTATGAAATATGTTCTTCACTGTAAGCTGACGGTTGAATTTCATGTCAGTCCATATTGTTCCACTATAAAGCCCATCTGTAGTGTAATTAGTTTTGTAACAATATATACGTATATTCAATAAATGAACACAAGGAAAGCTTTGAGCAACATATCTGGAAAATATGTGTTCTCCAAATCAAATTACATCTTTCTACATTTGCTGTTCTTATGAACAAGACACTAACTGAATTCAGAACTATTGTCAATTGTTCTTTTGTCAGAGACTAAGTGTATTCTTACACTGTACTTCAGTTACAATACACTTCATGTAATTACTTAAAAAGTTAATACCTGCCAAGGAATTCCTCCAAATATAAGCAACAGTAGAGAGTCAAACCATTCTCCTAAATCTGCTCTTTCCACTTTTCCAACCCAGTTAGTAGAAGACAACACATTTTTCGACACAGCTTCATTCTGATAAGCAAATGGAACTGATAGCAGCTGAAACATTGACCATGAAGAAAATAAATTCAGTGATATTAAATTATTTATACAATTCTTAAAAACACTGGAAGTGACTTGAGATTCTCACAGTGGTAAACATGTCGATGTTAATCTGGTAGCAACGCCATAAGAACTTGTAGTTAAATACCAATATTTCAGAACAACATACTATCTCCATCTTCAGCACTGAAAATGGAGACATTATTCTCTGAAACTTTGGTATTTACCTACAGGTCCATAAGGCATCACAACCCAAAAGATCAACACCGACACCTTACGAACACTGTTTCTAAATAACTTTTTTTATTTTTGTCCATTACTCTCTTTCAATACCACTTTCAAAACTGTAGAGGTCTGAAAACATCTTTCAGTGTATAAGTTAACCCTTAGGAATATCTATGGCAGCTGATGGTAAGCAATATCCATAGCCTATTTAAATATACAATGATATATAACAACATATTAATAAATTTCACTTCAAGAATACTTTACTGAAGTTCAACAGTGAAATGTGTAATAAGACTCACAAGCCCAATGACAATCAGAATTAGCTGAAGGACGTCTGTATAAGATACACTATAGAAGCCTCCAACTATTGTATAAGCAGCTGCAAAAACTGCACTGGCTATCACAGATATTCTGCTGTCGATATCAAGAATCACCACCAGCGAAGAGCCTGTAACATATATATAAAGTAAAATGCGATACAAACATTTGAAGTTTTTCTTTTTGCAAGGAAATTAGTTTAATATCAACATATACTACACTTACTACACTAATACCAATAGGTGAAAAACAGATTGTTGGCATGAATATGGCTACCGCATTCTGGAAAGTGACTATATTAAAAAATAAAATGTAAAGTTTCTCTCTCAAAGTTTAGTTTATACTAATTAGATAACTTATTGAATAATAATTGTACATTCAGATGGCCAGACAGATGGGCATAATGAAAATACTAAAAGCTTGTACAACATCAAACATCCTCCTCAGGCATCTTAATGCCTGCACGGATCTAAGAATCCTCTTTTCAATGTCTTCTCCTATTCTTCACCACACAGACTAATAATTTTATGTTATCGTTGACCACTTGTCTTTGCCCTGTCTGTAAGCACAATCTTGCTATATCTTTCTGCATGTAATAATCTGTTTGACAATAGTATTAACATACATTTGTAACATATATTAGTATTTATTATTAGGATAATTGATTTATTTTATTTTATCATTTGTTCTCCTTCTACCATTCTTTTTTCTTGGACACTCCATGTCTATTTTAATTAGTCGTCCATTAACCCACATTTGTAATCACTCGTTATACACAGGCATTTTCCTGGACTGCCTTAAAATACCAGTAGTACGACCGCTGTACAAGAAAGGGGACAAAACCAGTATGACAAATTACAGGCTAATTTCACTTTTAACTACTTTTTCTAAATTGTTTGAAAAGATTATGTACAATAGATTAAGTCATCATACTAATGCTAATAACATATTAGTCCCAGAACAATTTGGCTTCAGGAAAGGTGTATCCACTGAAGATGCAGCTTTCAAACGAACAGACAATGTGCTAAAATCTGTTAACCAAAAAATGCATGTTGGAGGAATTTTCTGTGATTTATCAAAAGCTTTTGACTGTGTAAATCATGAAATTTTGTTGGATAAATTGCATTTTTATGGCATTCAGGGAATAGCAGCGCAATGGTTCAGATCCTATTTAACAGATAGAAAACAAAAGGTCGAAGTAAAAGCACCTAAAAGCAAACGAAATTTTTTCTCAAACTGGGGAACAATAAAACATGGAGTTCCCCAAGGGTCAATTTTAGGGCCCTTGCTTTTTATAATATACATAAATGACCTTCCTCCAACAATAAAAACAATAAAACAATAAATACTTTAACAGAACCCATAATATTTGCTGATGACACAAGTGTCATAATTTCTAATAAAGATTTTGATGATTTCTGTTCAACATCAAACATAGTTCTGTCTCATATGAGTAAATGGTTTACTGCTAACAAGCTGGCCCTAAATCTAGATAAAATGAATATAATAAAATTTATAACAAATAACTCTCCACAATGTGCTTTAAGTATTGGTTATAATGGGAAGTATATACAAGAGTCAATAAACACAAAATTCTTGGGTTTGCAAATTGATAATCACCTAAATTGGAATAATTTACACCTGATGACTCTTTGATAAACCGAAACGTGTTGTGAATGTTCCGATGTAAATCGAATGCTCGATATGGAACATAAGATGATATTTTAATCATTTTAATTATCTTATCTTACTATTTTATTGTGATTTGACAGTAAACAAATATAATAATTATTTTAATTATTTTATTCAAGATTTCTGTCTTTACAAAGTACCAGGAAACATGAAGTTATACTTTCCCACTGTGAATGTCAAGTTGAAAATTTACTTATAATGTTCTTGTATGGTCTAAAAATTAATTTAAATAACAGTTTATTTGTTTCACTTAATAAAATTTAATTTGCAATATTCTTCTGGTGTTCTGTGAGTTAATGAGTGACAGGATGTCGATGAATTCCTAATGTCTACAAGTAAGTCGTAATTTATCCTTTGTTTGTATTTTTGTGACATTTATATGACTTGTATTTGTATAACATGTATTGTATTATTATGACTTATTCTACATCCTATTGTCATCTGACTAACTTATGGATCCATGGAATGTAATAAAGATGGATGGATTTCTCAACAACATATTTTAATAACAATGTTATTAATATTTTCTTTCAATCAGAGTAATAGTTAATCAAAGTGCAATTGATTAAACTTATCTGTATAAATGTTTGCCTTTTAATTTTTAAAACTGACCATGTGATTTTATTTCACTTTCTACATATTTTAATACATAAACAAAATGTCTTACAATGAAGAAGAAGAAGAAGATATGTATGATCTGAAGCTCTCACAGCGACTAAGTATAATAAATTCTTCCTGGTCTACCAGTCGGGTAAGGTGGCTTAATGAAGAAAACAGTACCCAGAGGACAAAGATGGTTCTCGAAACGTCAGTGTTTTCTTCATTAAGCCACCTTAAACGGCTGGTAGCCTGAGAAGAATTTATTATAAGAAGAAGTTGTTCTACAGTTTAATGTCTAGCACAAACAAGTTTTTCCATTCATCAACAAACTTTACTCACAACCATTAAAAAACTAATTTAGTAAATTGTCCCTACAGGGTATACTGATGCATTAAAACTTGCTTTAAAATGTCCACACACACACACTTTCTAGAGACTTCATTGGTAACTCACCTAGGGCGTTCAGGATAGAGCCAGTCCAGAAAACATCACCACACAATGCTGGTATATATAACAGGCCACCTACTTGGCTTCCATACTTCTGCTGCATGGGATCCAGCATGGTGACGTACCGGGCTTCACGCATCTGGCGGACGAACAGAAGCATGGCTGCAACATCAAGCCCTGGATTTAATGTTTCTGGAGTTTGATAAATTTAATTTAGCAACTAGCAATTTACTCATTTCAGTAAAGTTTATTTTAAGAAAAATCTGTATATATTTGTTTAAATCTTGGCAGTCTGATCACAATAAAATTCCTATTAAATATTAAAATATTACTATAATTAACATTTAAATATTTAAAATATATTAAAATGATGTTCTCTATCGAAATGTTCGATTTACATTAGAACATCACTTTT